CCCACAGCGCTAGCCCCAGAGCCTTCCTTAAGAGCCCGGAGCAAGGAGTGGAGACCTGGGCATCCATTTGTGGCACGTTGGGCTGCTAACCACAGGGTCAGGGGCCTGAGTCTGCCAGTCTGCCGGAGAGGGCCAGTGTTTTCTGTGCCCATAAAGATGGGCGGCTCCATCCGGTCCTGTAGGGTTGCCATGCATCAGAATCGCCTGGGGGGCCGTGAGGTTGTTGCTCCGGGGCAGTGTCAGCGCCCCCCAACCCCGTGTCTGTCAGTGTGTTGTGCCACGGGAACTGCGTGTTGCTATGACGCTGAAGCCATGTCACAGGAGTTTCCCGGGCAAGCAGGGCTGGTCACCCTGTGGCGGATAGGTTCCGGCAAAGCCAACCAACTCAGACAGACTAGGAAGAAAGGCTGGTGATCTGTCTCTAAGACAGACCCCTGGGAGCCCTGAGGCTGGCTCACAGCAGAATGTTCTGGAAAGGCCAGAGGACGGCACCGTATGAAATAGAGGGAGCCTCCTGGTGAGATGGGGGGTCCACGGTTGTCACATGGAGGAACTGGCACCCGGCGGTGCTCTTGCAGCTGAAATGGGGCGGATGTACATGCAGGCCTTCAGTCTCCCCCCTGTGGAGGCAGGTGCGGGGTGGCTGCCACAGTCCCTGGGGAAGAACGTCTCTGGAAAGTGGAGGGGCCCTTGACAGGGTGGATGTCCACGGCTGCGGCAGTGGGCTCGGGCATGGGAGCAGTGTGAGGGGCAGGGCTTCGCTGTGCTGGGGGCTCGGCAGCATCCCGATGGCCCCCAGCCACAGCAGCAGCGTGGGGAGGACTCTTGGGCGAGGAAAGAGTGAACAGCGTGCCAGTAGTAGCGAAGAGGTGGGGGTCGGCGGGGCCTGCCTGGACCCACCTCTCGGTGCTGCCGTTCCGTCTTGCTGAGTGTGGTGGGTTGGGCGTGCAGGAGATGAGTGTCCCTGGGGGCCCTGGCACCAGGATGGCATCTCCATGGCTGCGCCAGGCGTCCCGCCGGCTCATCTCTCTCTCGGCCGGGCGGCTCCCCGCCTCGCCAGCTGAGCACGCATGTGTTGTAAAGCTCTGAGCAGGCCGTGTCGGCTAAGGGTCCAGATGCAGTTTTATATCTGCGTGGAAAAGACAGGCAGCCGCTCTGCTGGCAGCCAGGCAGAGTTTTTAAATTAAAAGTTTAGGGGAAAAGATAAATGGATGGAGAAAGTTTGCTGCACCTGGCCCCCCTGGGGCAGCGAGGAGGACGAAGCACGCCTGCCTGCTTGTCTGTCTGTGTGTCTGCTCGTTACGAGCTCCACTCCGCCGGACGCCCTCCCCTGGGTGCCAGCATTTAAGGCCCGCAGCGAGGCCCACTGGACAGAGGAGGAGACGGAGGCTCAAAGAGTGGCCCAAGCTCTGGAAGTCCCCATTTGATGCTGCCCTCTTACCAGCACAGAGCATCCAGGGCCTCACGTCACTGCTGCCGGCCAGGTGGGGCCGCCTCAGGCCCCACGGCCACTCCTGCTCTGCCCAGGGCCACCTGTGCTCCACACACTCTCCAGGGCCTGCTTTCGTCTCTGGTGCCCCTGGGGCTGGGCTGGAGGCCCCAGCCTTGCAGTTGGCAGCTGAGTGTGTTAGCCATCCGTGTCCCCCAGGGCCTCCTGCTGGTGGTGGTCTTGGGTCAACGCATGGTGACCCTGTGACAGAGGAGAAGCCCCCGTGGGTTTTCTAGCCTCTCCAGGCTCTCTATAGGAGCTGCGTTGGAGCCTCCAAGCCTGAGGTTTGCGGCCAGGTGCTTAACCACTGTGCCACCTGGACACTCCAACCCCCGCGGAGGGCCTGCTCTTTCCCCAGGGAGTCCCCTCCGCTGTGCGAGTGGACTGCAGGCATGGAGCCCGCAGCATCAGCAGGAAACCACTGTATGCACGCACTGCAGCCCTGTCGAACCTCAGGCCAGAGGGCTGGTGAGGTTCCTATCACCCAGGTAGTTTAATTGGCACGAGGTCGTGAGAAGCACCTGCACCCCCTGCACCCCACACTTGGGCAAGGTGTCCCCAGCGCCTAGGCACCTAAGCTCTGTGACATCCATGCCCCACAGGAGCATTTCCACTGACAAGAACCCTCCAGGACAGGCAAGTCCCCGAGACAGAGACTAGACTGCAGTCACCTGGGGCTGGGTCCACAGAGGCCTCCGGGGCTGGTGGGTTGCCGTCCAGCAGACTCCGGGACTGGGCAGCCCCAGCCTCACAGGGCAGCCCCACGCAGCGAGACAAGAACTCTGCCCCGCGGCGTCTGTAATAGCTGGTGGTTGCGACCCGTGTTGCCAGGCCTTTCTTCCAAGGCACCCGGAACAGGCTCCACACCCCACCCTTTCTGTGAGCAGCCGGGGCGTGTTAACCCTTGGTTTGCACCCCAGGCATTCTGACAAAGGGATGGGGCTTTCTGGGAGGGGCCAGCATGTTGGGGAGTCAGCGCTAACACCCTCTGGGGGGGGTGCTGAAGAGTATGAGTGGTGTGCTGTAATGGGTGTGTGAATTCACCCTCTTGGCAGTTGAGAAGTCTATTAAAAATAAAGCTTACGGAGAGGGCAGGACTGGACAGGGCCAGTGACCCAGGAGCTGGAATAACCACAGCCAAGCTCCTGAGGGGGGAATGGTGGTGCTGGCAACGGGGAGGCTGGGTCCCGGAGAGACGGGGGGAAGGACAACCTAGTAGTGGTCATCACATGGCCTGACTGCCCCGCGCAGCCACTGACAGTGGGTATGTCCGATGTCCACCTTGGCCCAGGCTCGGCCCAGCCCCTCCCAGGAACAGACCAGCCTTGCCCAGCAGCTCCCCAGGCCTCGCCGGAGATGTGTTAGCTGTCGTGTCCTCACCGGAGCCAGAGGGAGGGCGGGCAGCTGACTTGCCTGCGTCCAGCTTGAGCTGACACACGTGTTCCTTTCTTGTCCCCGCAGAGAGCCTTCCAGGCCCTGTGCCACAGCACCCATCTGTACGGCCGGAGGCTGGTGCTAGAGTGGGCAGACTCCGAGGTGACAGTGCAGGCACTGCGACGCAGGACGGCAGAGCACTTCCACGGTGAGGATCGGCCAGCGGGGAGGTGGGAGGGGGGGGCTCCATGTGCAGGGAACCAGTCTGCTCTGCCCTAGCCGGGAGCTTAAAAAAGGCAGCCCACGCTCCCAGGGCTGCACAGTCCCAGGGTGTGCTGGGGGGCTGCCTCCCTCCCTCACAGGCCCATGCCCCACCTTCTCCAGAGGCAGGGGGTGGCAGAATGCGGAGCACGTGACGGTGGGACAAGTGTGTCTCTAGGGGTGGAGGGTATGGGGTGTGGAGGGGGAGTGGGGTCCATGGTGATCTGGGTCAGCAGACAAGACAGGCATGCTGATGCAAGGGGGTGCTTCTTGCTGCCCGGGCCTGGGCACGTGGACAGAAGCAGGGCCTCTCACTTGCGAGCTCGGGCTGCCCAGCCCCTCGGCCCTGGCTGGAGCGTTGGGCAGCCCTCCACGACAGTGTTCCCTCCATAGCTCTCCCACCCTGAGCGCGCCTCCTGGGTTTCTGAAACGGGTACGCCTGGCCCGCCTGCAAGGCTCCACACTGTGAGATCTCCCATGAGCGGCCAGTGAGCCCTGCCTGCTCCCGCCGCCTCTCGTCTGTTTTCCTTTCCGTCTGGGTGCCCGCTGGATGTGTTGCCCCTGCGTCGGCTCCTCTGCCTACAGTTGCGCCATCTGGATTGGGTGCCTGGCAGGCATGGCGCCAGGCGCGCATCAGGCCCTGGGACAGCCAAGGCAGCCCTGGGCCAGGGCCAGGCGCCAGTCCAGCTCACAGCTCAGTCAGTCCCTGAGTCGTGGCACACGGGGAACAGGCAGGTCCCATCGACAGGCTGACCGCACACATCAGCCAAAGTTTGTACAAGGGCCTCTCGTGGGACGGCCCCGGAGGAGTGCAGGCCCAGCAGTCCTGACCGCCTGAGGGAGGGCCCCTCGATAAATCGAGTGCCATAGGAAGCGCTAGGCCTTCCTGGGGGTGGGGTGGGGGTCGCCGTGGGCCGGCCCTGGCAGCAGACCGCGCTGCCCGCTAATTTGCACCCTCTTATACATCTTCCTGCTAGCCCTCGACGAGATGAGACGGGTGTGCTTAGCCCCACTGGACAGGGGAGGGAAGCGAGGCTGACCACAGGTGGGGGCTGATGAGGCAGTGGTCCTGGGGGCCACCCTGGGCACTGTGGTCCCGCCTAGGTGCTGCAGGTGAAGGAGCAAAGGGAGACCCTTGCCCTCCAGTGACGGCGCATGCGCGTCTGACAGAGCAGCTGCTTTGAAAAGTCGGCTACCCCCAACCCACCCCCGTGTTATTCATCTGACCTGGCCAGGACACAGGTGCTCACAGGCCACCCCAACTGGCCTCCTGTCTGACTCCTGGACCATCTCCCGCCACTGTGCCACTGCCCACCCATTAGTGTTCAAGTCTGCATTGTCCTGCACTGCTGGGCCCGTGGGCTGCGTGCCCGGCTCCCTCCCCCACTCTGGCCTGGGCCCCAGATGCTGCCAGCACAGCACTCAGGTCACGGTGGGGCTGAGGCGACAAAGAGCCCCTGCAGAATGGAGAGGGTGTGCGGCAGGGAGCCTCGGAGCTGCCCTGTGGGGCGGGCAGGCAGCGGTAGAGGAGCAGAGCTCTGGCCCCGGCCAGGGCCTTGTAGCCTGGCAATCTGCACTGCTGCCCTCAGACTTCAGTGGCCACTCCCCTGCTGCTCTCCCCCCGTCAAGCCCCTGTCCCCGGCAGTTCCAAGTGGATCGGGTCGCTCTGCCAGCACCAGGCAGGCCCCGTGTTGCTGCTGTGGACTCGAGCCCGCACGGGGCAGGCCTGCTGTCTTCCCACAAGCAGATTGCCGGTCCTTGCTGGCGCTGCCCAACAGGGTGGGTGCGAGCACCCACTTTCTGTTCTCAGCCACAAACCAGGCCCAGTGCTGCCAAGTTGGTCTGACTCGAACTGCCCCTGGGGTGCCACGGCTCTGGGTCTGGAAGGGAGCAGAAAGCCTCGCGGTTCTCCAGGGACCACAGATGGTATGAACTACCAACCAGTGGGCCGCCAGGCTCCCAAGCTGACAGCACCCGGCATTCCCACACAGTCTCCCACCCAGTCGCTAGCCCGGCCCAGCCATGCTCAGCTTCTGGGATCAGACCAGGTCAGATGGCCTTCTGGGAAATACGGTTTTTAGCTGAGCATAAGCCCCACCCAGGCTTCTAACCCAGTGAAGTGGGTTCCCACCAAGGACCCTCCGTGTGTGCAGAGTAGGACTGCACTCTGTATGGGTCTCACAGTGGGGCCATCGGGCAGTGGAACGCCAGGCCTTTCGTCTGTGGCATCTCCAGGTGCACAGCGACCACTGACCTTTCTGGCTAGCAGTTGGGCCTCAGCGGCACAGGGCCCCCTGCCTGGCATAGCAGGAGCTTATTGGCATGTGGCAGTGACCATGATGCTGCTGCTGGCCGGAGGGAATCACGGCCAGTGTGCTCCCTGCCCCTCGTCCAGGTTCCCTTGTGGGAGAGCCCCCACCCCAATGGGAGCTGCTGTTTTACTCCACCCCCACCCCCACCCCACGTAGCAGCTCAGAAACACAAGCTCTCCACCATGGAGTCGGTGCCAACTTAAAGTGACCCTATAGGACAGGGCAGAGCTGCCCCGTGGTCTCTGAGACTGAAAGCCTGGGGCAGCAGCTGCTGGGTTCGAACTGCCGACCTTGCAGTTAGCAGCCCCAGCCCCCACCACCGCTGCACCACCAGGGCTCCTAGTAATGGCCTCGGAGATGCTGCCCGAGTGGGCAAACACCCTGGCCTAGGACAAGGCAGATAGCCCTCTGACCCTGCCTGCCCGCCCTCCCTCAGGTCAGAATCGGAATTCCCATCTTGCACTCGCCTTCGGGCACAGATGAGGTGCCATTCTTCAGTGCCATGCGCGTGGGAAGGTGAAAAGAGAGCCGGGTGGGGAGGCCACGGCAAGCCGCCTCCGGCTGTGCCCCTTCCTTCCAGGACGTGTTGCAAACCAGCAGGGTCACGGCACGGAGACGCTAGCGGCCACGGCAGACCTTGGCTCCCGAGTGCGAGAGGCCCGGATAAGATAATGGTACTGCAGAAACGCGGCCGCACAGCCCTGTGTCTGGCAGCGCTCACAGCCGGGAGGCCGAGCAAGCCGGCTTTTATTTGGCCGGAAGCTCGGCTCTGCTTCCCGGTGTTGTCTTACTCCAGCTGGGGAGGACTGATGGGCTGTGGTTAGCGGCTGCACCTTTCACCTCCAGAGCTGGGAGCGCGGACATGACCGGCATGGCAAGTGGCTGGTAGCGCCGGCTCCCACCCAGGTCCAGCTGCCACCAACGGGCTCTGCTCTGGCACAGGGGTGTGGCTCACTTAGCCACCTGCCTCTGGGCAGGGCCAGGAGGGGCCCCATGGCTGGACACGTCTTCCCTGCACCCCTCCACCCCGGCCTTTGGGTCTCCAGGCCTGACAGCAGTGTGAACTGCCCTGCCAGACCCTGGTCCTTCCCCCAGCACACCACCTGCCACCAGCTCTGTCTTGTGCCGCCATTGACTGGCATGTGGCTGGTCCCCCTCCCCTGTAGGGGCAGCCTCGGATTCTAAGGTCCCCACCCCCATGCTGGTCCTTGCCTCTCCCTGGGAAGGAGGCCTCTGCTGCTGTGTTCTTCACCCCTCTACGTACTCGTTCACCGCCCAGTAACTCCTCCCCTCCCCAAGCTTATCAAGCATCCTTTGGGGACATAGGTCCGCAGACGTACTGCGCCCATGGCCCCCTTTTTATGGGGGGAGGAAAAAAGACTCAACACCTCCCTGGGAACGAGCAGCTCTATACCCGTCATCCAGGACAGTGTAGGATGAAATCTGCTCTTACAGCCCCCCCCACCATCATTCCAACAGCCCCCAGGGGGCGGTATTGCCTACTGTCCTGGCCCAGCAGGAGGTGAAGCCACATCACATGCAGGGGAGAAGGGGTAGCCCCAGGTGCACTTAGGGTACCCACCTTGAATCACAGGGGCTGTGTAAGCATAAACCATGTGTCCATATTTCTTCAGTCTCCTGAAAGGGCAACAGGCCTAAGTTCAGGAACCCCCACTGTAGGCCCAGGAGTGGGGAAGGAGGGGTAGCACACCCACCTGACAGCTCTGCATAAGAAGGGCCCGCTGGGCCAGGTGGTTGGCTTCATACCCTGAGAAGCACAGGTGTGGCTTGCAGGACAAGGTCCCTGCCCTCCAGTAAGGCAGAGAGGATAGAGCAGACAGCTGGATGGCACAGGGGTAGTCGTGGCAGGTGCCACGAAGGGTCAGCTTAAAGCATGGGGCCCATGCCAGGCAGAGGGGCCCATGGTTTGTAAAGGCCCTGGGGCTGGAGGAACAGGTCCAGGGTGCAGAGAGATGTTGGCAGAGGTGCTCTGTGTGGGGTGGGGACCCTGTGCCAAGGGAGCGCCTTGGAGACTGAAAGGATGGCATGCCCTATGGGGCCACCCTGAAGCTCGGGGACCTGCATTTTAGAGGGGAGGGGGTGGTCTTGGCCAGGGATCTGGGACCAGCCAGGTCCTTGTGGAGAGGACAGACGCCCAGGCTCCTGCACATCTGCATGGTACTCAGAACCACCCAGAAGCTGGCAACGCCCTGTTGCTCCCAGTTCAGGACTCAGGGGAGAACAGGTGGGGACAGGGTCCTCCCCTTGCCCCTCCCTCCACCATGGGGACAGCAAGCCCCCGCATATATGCTAGTGCAGGGCTCAGGGCAAAGTCGGGGCTGAGAGAGAAATTTGAAAGTCATCAGCATACAAATGATATTTAAAGCCTGCCACAGCCCCCCCACACACACCTCCCTTGCTCTTCTTTCACTTAATCATCCCCTGGACAGCACATTTCCCCAGCTCAGGGCCCCAGAGAGCCCGTGATCCCCACACCAGCCCCAGCAAAGACGCCTCCTTGATCTTGGCCGCGAACACATAATCATCGGGCTTTAAAAGCCACAGTCCGGAAAGTTCGGGCAAGTGTGTGAAGTCACAGACTTTATTATTCAAAGCATTCCCTTGTCAGCCTTCC